TAGCGCGCAAGTTTCGTTGAATTGTGTGAATTGGCGAAGAGAAATTTTCGAGCACAATTTCGCGAGTTCCTCGGCTCAGCCAACGAGCAAATAGCAAGTTAAAGGGGAATGGTTGTATTATTCCCGGCGAAAACACGTTATGTCAATGGAAATTTTAAATCCACCAGCCGCGGAGAATGCGGCGATGGTAAGCTGCTTAAATCGAGAGCTTTCGTGAAACACGAGAGCTTTATACCTTTCCGGCCGTCTTTCGTTGCATTTTCGCACGCGCGAACAACGGAAGTCCGCGATGCAAATCCGGCCGTGAATGTATCCCGTGTATTTTCATATCCACCTGGACCGAAGTACAACGTTAATTCGATTCTCGATTTGAAGATCGACGCTTGTTAAGCTTAATTAATGTCACTACGTTCGAATCCAATTGACAGTGGTGCCTTCAACGTTAGCAAACAATTGGTGATGAATCGAATATTTAGTTGCCTTACTGTTGCAGTACAATTTTCCAGCAGGGAAGTTTCAGTATTCGTTACAAGATTACATTTATTGTGAGTGTTAAATATTCATAAATTGGAAATAATATTTCTTTTAAATTAATAGGAAATAATATTTATATTTATCAAATTCAATTGGGAGAGATGACTTCTTTCTGATTGTGTTATATCACTGATACATAGGTTTATATTTATTTATGTTTTTTAACAAAAAGTCTTAAATACAAAAATCTTTTTAACATATGGAATAACCTTTTATCTTTATTTGGTTGAGACAGTTAAGTGCACGTGTACTTTTCAAAATTATTAATCTTGATTTCAAATAAAAGAATTTTATTAATTCGTTTATTTAAACAATGTAATTTTTTCTCATGCAATTCGGCGTCACTGGAACACAGTCTGTTCCCTGATAAATTCCGAAAGACAACGTTGCTTCACAAGCACGACAATTGTCATTGCGTAATTCTGTCCGAACCTTATCACGAGCGTTATCAGGTATAAGGAGCGGTTGAAGGAATGAGACATCCAGAAGACAAAAAAAGAAGCGCAGCAAGAACTGACAATTTTTAACGTTCCAGAAATTGCATCGTGACTAACCACTACCACTTTGTCTTGTTCCAAATAGTTAATTATATAGGATATTTTATGTTTTAACAGTCTCAGGTACTAAACACAATTTACACGAACAGACTAAAGGTAAATATTGATGCTCTGTTTTTATATTATACCGTAGTAATCGCGAATCTGATAGCGTTCCCTTCACATTTCTTATTTTTGTCATAACTTTTTATTAAAACTTTAAACAATCTACGATTACATAATACAGTTTTCTTATGTATACCCATACAACGATGTTGACAACGTTTAGCTATTAGCATTAGGACTACTAAGCAGTGAAATTGACTACTTTATACTTTTTAAATAAATCATAAGAGTATATTTATTAAAATCTCTATTTACTGATGGAATCGATTTATTTAAAAATTTCACAGGAAATCATCTATATCTCTCCAATGAACTGTTTAAGCAGTTAGTAATTTTTGTCGAGTGTACTCGTCATGACAAAATAGCAAGCTTTTGTGTTCCGAGTATACTCGTCCAAAAATAGCTAACTGGTTGAACGAACATTCATTTTCGAAACAACCAATTTTATAAGTATATACACAGTACTCGAATGAAAATTTTTGATAAAATTATTTGCAAATACGAACACGTACACATACCAGGATAAGGTATACTTTTCAAAAGGGTCGCAACAGCCGATTGGTTAAAGGTTAACTCACAATTCCGCGTACAAAATAAGGTGCGCGGCGGGCGGGCGAAACGATCGCACAGCCGTTGGCTCAATGACCGCTGTTGCTCAATGATCGCTGTTGCTCAGCGCAATTTTCAATAATTGCGAACGTGATTAATCGCGAAGCTCGGGGAAAAGTCCTGGGGCGGCGATGGTTCGAGTGGCCGAGAAAATGGCGGATGATTGACGCGCTAATAACTCATCCGATGATATAATTGTTGCTTCCTTTCGGACGTGAGTGCGCGCTGGCCAAGAGGACGCGAACGCTGACTGGACGAGTGCACCAAGAGGAAAATACCTGGAGGGTGCAATTTCCGGAGCGTACACGCTCGCTGGCCTGCTATGTTCTGTAGCCCCAGACGACTAACGACTCGCGCGCATAATTGGTTGCTCGCCCCGGACCAGCCACGATAATGCGAGAACAAGTTTAATGGGGTAAGTGGATCACAGGCTACGGATAGAGCCATTAACAATTAACCGAGCGGTCCGTGTCATCGTTCACTGATATCTTTGTAGCCGGTCACGGGACAGACGGATTGTAATTTCATGGGTCCTCCGCGACGATGGATTACTCATCACGGTGGTTTTATCAATTACTCGCTGATGAAACGGGTTCGAGTTAGATAAATCTTCGCGGTGAGTTGAACGTTGTTGACGGTGCATTTGCCGCAAATGTGTAACGCAAAGTAATGTGTGGATTGCGGGAAACAGAGATGGAACCGAGTTTTAGGGAAAATGCAAAGTGATTAAGGGATGAACAGAGACATTGTTTTAAATTGATAAAAGATTTATATGTAAATCTCATGTTGAGGGGAAATATTATTGTACCGAGTAAGAAGTTCGTACGATATTGTTCTTCGAAAAGTGCGAATAATATCCTTTTGTAATCCAGTAGACTAGAGTTTTTAAACTAAAATAAATGTTTATTATATTTTGATAAAATTAACTATGTAATCGAAAGTTCATATAAACATCTAGAGTGTAAAAATGAATTAAAATGTAGAAAGATTATCGTGCAAGAAATTGAATACTATCATTTATGGAAACAGATTTCATCTAATTTTATTGCTTTTATTATATTTTAATTAGATGATATCGATGAAATTAAATAGGAACGTCAGAAAATAAAATAGAAGTATCACGGGAACCTATTTTTAAGCTGAAAAAAGTGAAAAGTCAATTTCGTCGTAATAGAATTTAAGTATGGAAATTAAGAGGGAATGATAAGACAATGCATCTGCGCCTGATAATCGGTAACGTAAATCTTTCTTCCGTCACGGATAAAGTGCGAAGAAGAAAGTCTCGCGATGTCTCGAGTTTTTCGAACGAACCATTTACAATTAGTCGACAGTCGTGACAATTAATATTCTTCGAGAAACTTTAATCAACGTTTGTTCCATTTAACTTCACGCCTAGCTGCGTTGAACGTGTACAAGGGAAGAAAGTTGGACGCCGATAAGCGAGTCTTCCGAGCAGACTACTTGCATCGGATTTTTTCCCCCGCAGAAGAACATCTTTCTGAGAAAATTAAATGAGCCTTACGAATTGAAACTTCATGCGGTAACTGAATCGTGTCTGCGCCAGAAACATCTTGTAAAGTCGTACGCATTTAAACGCAAAACATTTATACGAGAAATGATTGCTTTGAGTAAATAAATATTTTCTTTATGGATTATACATCAGTAATATTGACTGATAAGTTAAGCGATATAATAAATGTGTGTGATATATTATAATAAACTAAAAGTAAATAATAAACAATTATTTTAACAGAAAGTTTGACCAACCAACAATTGAAATTAAGTTGCACTTCAGACAGTAAAAAAGATTGCGATAAACTGTTGTCATCAGTGAAAAATATTAAATTATGAGACAAATTAATGGTAATAATTACACAGAAAGAGAACTCACTTTAGAGTTAATTGAGTTAAGTCGAGTTGTCCATTACCAAGTGTACCTACTGCAAGGTAATGTACGTAATGTTGGTTTAACTGATGTTAATTGCATTTATAATTATAATGTAATTTGTAGTTATAATATAGCAATATTATGTATACAAGGAAAAAACAATTTGTGGGTTAGTAAAAAAGAAATGAATCGCAAATGAGACCTTTCAAATATAAACAATATTACACATTCTTTATAATATTCGATTTCTATCTTTATCTCTATAATAAATTCTGTGAATTTAATGAATTCAAAACAGATACAAATTAATGAATTTTTCACTACAGTACTCAGTACGATCTTAGACAGAAATATAAAATTTTCACTCAATTCTTGTTTTCATTACTTCACAGATGAAAATGTAAATTTACTGGAACATCTGTGGTTGATATTATTTGCTTTCTCCACTTTCCATATCACAACGTGGACAAATTTAGTTTGAATATATTATAATACATTCCCATAGATTTATATAAATAACGAACATTCCATTAGAAATATGTATTACTAGAATAAACATATAACTAAGACAATGATTCGAAAAAATTTCATAAGGCAGCAATTATTCCATTTATTTACATGAATAATTTGTATTTATTTACTCCCACAATACTGAAGTAAGTACGACTTGAGAAAAGAATAAAAACTTATTATTCAAATATATCCCATTCAAATAACATTAACAAATATAAAGTATCAAAGCAAATAGCACAGGAGAATAAAAAATCTTATTCGAATAACACGTTATTTCGATAATGTTCAATCTTGCCACAGAATACATATATTATAAAACTTTTGCTCTATGATTCATTTTTCAACTATGATCGATACAACTACT